GCAACAATGTTGCAGTTCTATTTTTATTCAGTATAAGCAGAGAGGGTTTTAGGTTTTCACTTATGCGCATGCACTTATCCATTCATTTACTGGGCTTTTAACCCCCATCCCCTCCCCAAATGCTGATAAACCACCAATGTGCATTTTCCTTTAAAAAAGGAGGGCTGCCATCCCCCAAAACAAATCAAAACACTCCACTTAGGGGGAGTCCAAAATGTGTCTGTCCATTCACATGGACAGTTCATTCTTTAGTTTTAATGAAGTTTTGCAGCAGGTTTGTTTTGGTTGAATTTGTCTTTATTTTAGTTATTTCCTCTTCAATATATGGATGATCATGCACCCGTGATGTAAGCATGTTTGTTCATCCACACACAATATTATAAAACAAAGCATTCACTTACACGCGTTAACAAGTCTATCCATTCAGAGACACAAATGCACAAACATGTCTATTGTCTACCCATACACGTACGCACAACAACAACAAAAACTCTGTCCATTCACGTACACATCAACGTCTGTCTGTCCTGATCCATCCAGTAACATCTCTCTCTCTCTCTGTCTTGCATTTGGTGAAAATGAGTGGCGGTAAAAAAAAAAAAAAAAAGCGGGAGAAGAACACAAGAATCCGTGTGAAAACAAAGCTCGGGTGCACATGATGTCCCGGAGGACATATGCTGGTACACGGAAACACAAATCTTCTAACCTGTGACTGAACCAACCCGTCCCCCCTCCCCTCCCCTCCTCTCCCCGCGGCAGAGGCTAAAGCTCATCCAGCGGCTGAGTTTTGGAACATGAGATTGGCGAGCTGCAGCATTGGCCTGGCCCCAAGTCACACAGTGTTCCGCTGGAGCGCACCAACATTCTACGCACACCGTCCACTCTGCTCTAAGGCGGGACAGCTGAACGGATGTCTTCCTTCTCCCGCCTCCCTCTGCTCTCACAACAACAACGCAGCGAAGTGTCAACACAGGACATTTTGTCTCTTACCTGTGAGACAAGCCAATGCCACTGTTACAACCGATATGACCTCAGGGAAAATTGCCCCTTTCCGCCCATTTTGTGTCGAGCAATCTATGTTAACGGTCTTTGGTGTTCCACATGGTTCAAGGTCGGGTCCCCTCCTTTTCTCGTTATCTGCTCGAGGGTTTGTTTTGGTTTTGTCATTCGTTTTTATTTCGTATTGACTTTTTTTTTCTCAAGCCAGTTTGAATTGAGTTTTGAGAGCAGGTTTGTGAATTTTTTTTTCAGTCTTTTTAAATGCTTTGTTTTCAATTCGTTTTAGGGATTTAACTTTTTTTTTTTTAAATATAGAATATTTATTGAGTGCAAAATAAAAAAAAGTCTATCCTGGGCCAACAACAGCCAACAAATCTTATTTGCAGACTCCAAAGGTGGAAAATTATTGGTGCCATTCACCCAGAAACTGACTTTGGGGTAACAGCAGAGGCAGTGTGAGAGGGGCCGTCGTGAGTTTTGGCCCTGTGGCGTAAACGTGGGCCCAAAAAGCTCCAGCTTGCATAAGAGTTGGCGGAGCGAGCGGCGACAAATCAGCTTTGGTGGAAGATTAGCGTTAAGAGTGGGATTGAGGCTGTCCCACATCTTTTGCCATCAAATGATTGGACAAGCATCCCGTCATTGGCTCCTCTTTCCTCTCACCACTTTGGTTTTGCCCCCTTTATTTCATTTCATTTTGTTTGATGTGTGTGAATACTTTCCAGAAGTAAAGAACATGAAACATTGACACCTTCACTGAACAAAATTACAAATGCAACAGTTTTTTTTTTCTATTTTTCACGAGCTGAAGTCAAAGACTGTTTCCTTGATGCAAAAGGCCAATTTCTCTCAAAATTGTGTTCACATTCACAAATCAAAATTCCTGTTTGCGCGCACTTGTCCTTTGCCGAGGTCATCCACCAAAACGGGTGTGCCATCTGCAGATGAGATAGCCTGATGATTGCCCAAGTGTGCCTTTGGCTGCCCCCAATAAAAGGACCATTTGCAGTTTTCCTCTCCGGACATCGAGCTCTGTTAAGTGAGCGCTTCTCCTTTGCTGAGATCATCCAATAATGGCAGCAACAATGTTGCAGTTCTATTTTTATTCAGTATAAGCAGAGAGGGTTTTAGGTTTTCACTTATGCGCATGCACTTATCCATTCATTTACTGGGCTTTTAACCCCCATCCCCTCCCCAAATGCTGATAAACCACCAATGTGCATTTTCCTTTAAAAAAGGAGGGCTGCCATCCCCCAAAACAAATCAAAACACTCCACTTAGGGGGAGTCCAAAATGTGTCTGTCCATTCACATGGACAGTTCATTCTTTAGTTTTAATGAAGTTTTGCAGCAGGTTTGTTTTGGTTGAATTTGTCTTTATTTTAGTTATTTCCTCTTCAATATATGGATGATCATGCACCCGTGATGTAAGCATGTTTGTTCATCCACACACAATATTATAAAACAAAGCATTCACTTACACGCGTTAACAAGTCTATCCATTCAGAGACACAAATGCACAAACATGTCTATTGTCTACCCATACACGTACGCACAACAACAACAAAAACTCTGTCCATTCACGTACACATCAACGTCTGTCTGTCCTGATCCATCCAGTAACATCTCTCTCTCTCTCTGTCTTGCATTTGGTGAAAATGAGTGGCGGTGGGCGTTTTTCTCATAGACATCGGAGGGAAATGGGTCACATGCTGAGGGTGCCTGCCGAGCTCGCGGCGGAGGCCCGAGTCCAGGCCTGCTCTCGCCGTGACCTACTTCATGTGACCTCCCCTTCCTCCATCTCGCCACCCACCTCCAAGGCGGGGTGGGGGGGGGGCTGCGAGCTTCATGCTAACATCTAATTCAAAAAGCCATTAATGCGGTAACAGAAATCAGCGTCGGTGTTCCAGTCATCCACTTACATCCAGCAAAACACTCCACTTAGGGGGAGTCCAAAATGTGTCTGTCCATTCACATGGACAGTTCATTCTTTAGTTTTAATGAAGTTTTGCAGCAGGTTTGTTTTGGTTGAATTTGTCTTTATTTTAGTTATTTCCTCTTCAATATATGGATGATCATGCACCCGTGATGTAAGCATGTTTGTTCATCCACACACAATATTATAAAACAAAGCATTCACTTACACGCGTTAACAAGTCTATCCATTCAGAGACACAAATGCACAAACATGTCTATTGTCTACCCATACACGTACGCACAACAACAACAAAAACTCTGTCCATTCACGTACACATCAACGTCTGTCTGTCCTGATCCATCCAGTAACATCTCTCTCTCTCTCTGTCTTGCATTTGGTGAAAATGAGTGGCGGTGGGCGTTTTTCTCATAGACATCGGAGGGAAATGGGTCACATGCTGAGGGTGCCTGCCGAGCTCGCGGCGGAGGCCCGAGTCCAGGCCTGCTCTCGCCGTGACCTACTTCATGTGACCTCCCCTTCCTCCATCTCGCCACCCACCTCCAAGGCATCCCGACGAGACACGGACACATCCTTCAAATGTAGTGTACACGTGAAGGAATTTACATCCAGTGGTTAGCGCATCAACCTCACAGTGCAGTTCAATTCTAGCTCCGGCCTCCATGTGCGAAGTTTGCATGTTCCCCCGGGCCTGCGCTGCGTGGGTTTTCTCCGGGTACTCCAATTTCCTCCCACATTCCAAAAACATGTACGGCAGGCTGATTGAACACTCCAAATTGTCCTCAGGCGTGAATGTGAGTGCGGATGGTTGTTCGTCTCTGTGTGCCCTGCGATTGACCGGCAACCGGTTCAGGGTGTCCCCCGCCTACTGCCCGAAGACGGCTGGGAGAAGCTCCAGCACCCCCCGCGAGCCTCGCGAGGATAAAACGGATCGGAAAATGAATGAATGAATTCAGATTTTGTTCTCGCGTTCGAACGGCGCAACATGGGCATCTCAACTTTTGTGGGAAGTGACCCACGAAAAGCGTGCCTTCTTTTCGAGAGTGCGACACCAAGCAAGAGTTTTCCTTCTTTTTGGCGCAGTGCAATGTTGACGGTTCAAAGATGCCGTGTGGAGTGAATACCTTTCAGCACATTTTTTGGGCACTTCTTTGAGAGAAGACAAACATCGGCGCCGGCCATGAATCATGCAGGCAAAGGACGCCCGACGAGCTGGCAAAGTGGGTCAGACCGTTATGGTGGCGTCCAAATGGGGAATTGTCGCTCATGAATCATTGAGCGAAGTGGAGAGAGGAAGGAAATGTGCTAGCCACATACACAAATGCAAAAACGCACGCAATACCAGACTTTGAAAGGAGGGGTACTTTTGAGACTTTCGCAAAACATTTTCCATCACGCTTCTCCGTTTTCGGCCAACAGCGGCCTTTTAGGTCAGAGAGCAACATCAATATTTTGTCTTTTGATGAAATTCTAACATGGATAGTCTGTCTGTCCTCTTTTTGGGAAAGTGCAACCGTGGTCGGAAAGGAAGATAAGCCTTTTGATTTCTGCGTAGTGGGCAGTAAGGCACGACGTCCACTTCCCACGCTGTTAGGCCATCCCGCGTGGGCCCGGCCTGCTCCAAAGCCGCTTAGACGGCCTCCTTTAGCAGCGCACTGAGCTTTATTCTTGATAGGAGCCGGGGATTTCGGCCATAATTAGGCCACCCGCATTAAGCAGCATGTGCCCCCCCACACACACACACACACATACAGACCAGAATTTATCGTAGTTCTCGGTGGCAGTGTTGACACCTGAACGGAATATGTATGCTGGGATTACGTAACCCGTTTTAACGTTATGGTACTATGAATGCGTATGCGTACGATTGAATAGCGCGAAAGCGAGAAGCACGTCGTAAACCTAGCAGGAGGACTTTGTCGTGTTACGTAACATCCACTGGCGTCTCGGGTTGCACGCGTCCCGGACGGAAAGAAAAAAAAAAGGGCGTGACCGCGGTTTCGATTGGTCGCGAGTGAGATTGACAAGGCGGGAAAACCAATGGGCAGCCTCGTTTTCGGCTCGCCCCTCTCGCGTCCCCTCCGGTGCCCTCCCTTCCAGTTTGGCCGCACAGGACAGCGTTTGTCCCGGACTCCGATGCACCCAGCGCTGTAACTTCGACGTGCAGCTGCCGCTCCTACTCTTCGTGAAGCACGTCAACTCGAGCGGGGGAGATCTTTCGACGTCCTGTGCCCCGGCCATCGGCACGTTGAAACACTTCGTGGAGTGGAAGTAAAAGAAGAAACGGGACGGGAAAGTGGGCGAAAAAACCGTCTCGGAGGATTCAAGCGGGCTCGTTGGGTACGTGGTGGACGCCACTGCGCATGCGTAAAATGCTTAACGTACATCCCCCCCCCCACTCGGTGTGACTTTAAAACGCAGACTTTCAACTCGATGACTCAAATTGCTGAGGTTATTTGAATCCAGTTGCGACTTTTATGTAGACCCGTCCTCATAATTGTATACTTAAAATCATTTCGGTAAGTCCACTTGCGATTCTCGACAGCGGACAAATCCCCCTCCCCAAACTTGCTAGCCGCTAGCATTTCGCTAGCCACCTTTTCATTTTCACTCTTAGCCCAACAAAATTCCGCGACGGAAAATGTCCAAAGTACCCCGCCTGGTCTTTTAACGCCGCGCGGCGTTCGACCGACGTCGTAGTGGTCGCCCCCGGGTCGCCCCCGTGCTCGTTATATAACTTTGACGCCGCCGTACGTTGAGCTGTCACGGGAGCAAGTTAGAAAGGAGGTGTTAGGCGCTATGGCGCTAAATGGACCCTATTATGTGCCAGGGATGCACACGTAACGCTTTTTTTTTTTTTTTTTGATGGGACAGATTACAGTGGGCGCCCGCATACTTGCGGCTCGCCACACGCGGATTTTCTCAGTTTAATATTTAAAGTCAACGGGAGGGCGTCAAGGTTTAGACCTACATATGAAGACTTTCTTCAAATTAATTTTTCACTGCATTTATCATGGGTGTCAATTAAATGCGGATGTTTGCGATTCGCAGGCTAGTCGTAGCGTCTAGGCCCCCCCCCCCCCCCCCCCCCCCCAAATGGCAGCAGTCCACTGTTCAATGGTGCCGTGAGATACGAGTAACACATGACACTTGTCTCTTAAATCCTCTTCATCTGTTGAAATGCCAATAATATGTTACAGCTGGCCCAAAACAAACATTTGTTTTCTAGTGAGGGCAAATAACACTCTCATATCATATTTTATAAAGCCGCCGAGTATTAACAAAGGAACAGAAAAGAAAGCATTAAACAGTGCGTAGGAATGCCTTTTTGCTGCAATTCAGTTCATTGCACTGCTCCTTAACAGAAGGACACAAATGAAGACGGATAGTTCACAGCTCCTCTAAGTCAAGAGTCCACAACCACCCGTCCGTGGCTCGACATTTGGTACCGGTGCGCAGTCAGCGATTACCTTCCACATCGACAGTATGCGTCTGCACCGCGCGCACAACCTCGACCTTGCCCTGCGTTGGCTCGCTCCGAACTTCGGGTATCGCTGTAGTCATAAATCCAACATCCATTCTGAATATCGCCCATTTGCATCAGTGTTTATTGCCTCGTACGTGCTTCTGACTCCTTGCGGCATCCATATTAAAGGCAGCGTGTCTTCCCCGCAGCTCTGCATAGCTTCCTTGCAGCATCTCGGTGAGGCCTTCTTCTTCCCCGATGGGTGCACCCTGCGAGGACGCGACACGCAGACGCAAATCACCCGAGCAAGACGACAAGTGTGAAAGAATGAAGACCAGCTAGATGTTTCCCGTCTCCCACGAGTAACTGCGGTTTGAGTTTTTTCACCCCTCCCCCCCTTTCCTTTGGAAACGCACCACATCTTTTGGACAACATGAGCACGGAAGGTTACCAGTACCGAGCGCTGTACGACTACAAGAAGGAGCGCGAGGAAGACATTGACCTTCACGCAGGGGACGTGCTGCTGGTGAGCAAAGGGGCGCTGGTGGGGCTGGCGTCCCTGAGCTACACCGACGGCCTGGAGCAGAGGCCCGAGGAGATCGGCTGGCTGCCCGGCTTCAACGAGACCACGCAGGAGAAGGGCGACTTCCCCGGCACCTATGTCGAGTACATCGGCAAGAAGCGCATCTCGCCGCCCACGCCCAAGCCCCGCCCGCTCCGCCCGTTGCCCGTCGCCCCGGCCACGTTGAGGGCCGAGGCCGATTCCGACTTGGAGCAAGGTGAGTCCCGCCTTTCGCTTGGACTCGCACGAAATATGCGCCCACCCAGCGAGACTTTACATAAGACGGCGCTCCGTGCGATGCGGCGAGCCTCCGGAATGTTCTTGTTTGGCGGCAGACTGCTCGCTCGGGAGACTTTGAGGCATTGCTGCAACAATGTCGCCGCAACAAGAAACAGCCACACGCGGAATACCGGCCCGGAGATTTCTCACCTGATTACCTCTGCCAAGGAACTTCTGTTTTGTGAGCGGAATTCCTCAGAAAGCGCCTTTTCGAAACAAACGCTTTTCTTGCAAACGGAATTTGGAAGACAGACTTCCACTTCTGGTTCTGCCTGCAAGCGTATTTCTGCCAAGCGGTACGTTGTTTCTTTTCGGCTAAGAACACGTCAGCCCGGCCGCTAAACTAAACGATGAACGACGACGCGTTGTGCCATCCGCAGTTTGTTTGTTGTCGGAGCTTTTACACGCTCACACTTGTCTTCCCTAATGTCGAAGTGACCGATCTCTGGCAATCAGTCAATGGACAGTGATGTGTTTAGCTCCGTTCTCCACGGGCGAAGCTCACCGAAGCTTACTGCATCTGGTATCGTCATGAAAGCGTTGGTTAATTGGGGGGCCCTTTACGCCGGTTGTCTTTGGCATCATTTCCTCATTCCAATCACACACACACGAACCATTGTTGAGCAATAACTCAAATGGACCCCAAACTAGCTGTCGAAATGAGTCGGCTTTGTGCGATATGAAAGACGGCTTGCTCATCGAGTCGTGAACTTGGTACAGCTTCCACCCAACAAGTGCGGCCTTAATCGCAAGTGGCTGAGTCACCGATCAGATTGCGAGAATAATTCAAACAAGGCCGTGGCTCGATCACGGCATCTTTTCCCGTTTTTCCTGAAACAGTCTCGTGTAAACATCTGGACTGCGCTTCTTCAGCACCCGGCGGGTTGAGACATGACAAAGTCCACCGGCTGACCAAAACAAAGCCGTTTTTCTTCTCTAGCTGGGGGGGCATTGGTGGACAGACAGCGAATTGTTCTACATGAGCACTGATTCGTCCTACAAAGAGCGCTGGGGTCCACGGACCTCCAGGCCTGGGCATAAACGCTCCGGCGGCTTTCCGTGCACATCCCGCATGCGCGCCGGCACATCTGGAAACGCTCAGAGCGCGGCAACTCCCTGAAACCTCACGGAAAGGCCATCCGCGACGGCGCTTTAATCCGGGCCTCGAATAGGCTTCGGTTCGGCCGAGGACCCGCGGAAGACGTGAAAACGCTTTTGTTTGTTCCGGCCGGCACATGACACGTCGTTTGCGAGCGCTCGAGGGCGGAGACGGAGGACGGTTCTCTGCGTTTTGTTTGCCGACACTTTTGTGGAAAGTCACCACGGGGCACATTTTGGAAGCGCTCCAATCGTTTGGACGGGAACGTGAAATACCAAAGGCTCTCTTTAAATGTTTGCGCCGAGGCTGCGTGACCCGAGCGGACCCGCGCGAGAGCAAAGTGGAGCCGTGCTCTCATTGGGCGACTCCCTGCTCGCCGGCGCCGCCCGCTCGGGCCTGCGGGCGGAGCACTTTTCTCCGCTCGGAGCGCGGAATGCGTCGGGGCGGCTCCATTCCGATGCCTGTTTGCGTGTTCGACAAAACACGCGCCGGTCTTTCCGCCGCGTGCGGGAGCTTTGCTCTCCGTCCGCTGTCGCCGCCTCGTCGACATGTGAACCCGAAAATGGCGCTCACTTGAGCAGCTCCTCTATATTTACCCCAAGCACGCGCTATCTTTAGCGTCCTGCCCGGTCTTGCCCACGCGGTTTACATTTCGCCCCGGCTCAGACACGGGCGGCGTTGACCAAGCGCTCCCCGTCAACGCCACAGGTTGACCTTGCCGTCTGTCTGTTGCATACTTGTCCGGGACACAAAGCCCCTTTGGCACGGCCGCTTTTTCTTTCTCGTGGCCTCGCGCTGCGTTTCAACAGGCGCATCCAAGTGCCACCCCGATGACAGCCGAGATCTACGCTCCAGCATCTTCCTTCCTAAAATAACGGCCAAAGTCGTTTTTTCAGCTCTTTGAGAGAACGGACCCCCCCCATCCCACTACCGCCACCCCATCAACGAGAAAAAAGATCTCATCGAAATACTTATTTCGTAATTACAGACGCTGGCGAGATGCCTATACAGCTTTAGGTCGCGGTTCGCACTGTTCGTTTCTCATTTGCCGACGCCCATGTCACATGACACACTTCAAATCGCAGATACAACCGTCGAACGCGAGGCCTGCAAAAATGGAACCTCGCGCGCACGCTATTGCGCTTAGTAATGTTGAAAATAAAGGTTTTCCCGATGAGTCCAGGAGCTCGTCGGGCGAACGCGCGCTTCTAAAAATATTGGCTCGCCGGTCGGCAGCATCTCGAGCCATCGGCTGTACGTACGCATGTCGCGCTTCGTGGGAACACTCGGCATTCAGCGATGCCAAACGGGTGCCGCACTTCGGCAGTACCGAGAAGAGAGCCCATTTGGGCTCTGTCGGGCGGCCGCCGCGCATGGCGCGGGGGGGGGTGCCTTGTCTTCTGCATGTGATTTACGCAAGGAGGAGGCGGCGGCGCGCAGCCAAGGCTCGGCTCTGTCCGAAACGCTATCTCCAGTAAGGCCGGCTCAGTCAGATATTGCAGTCATTTTTATGGCTGCGATGGAGGGGAAGGGGAGGTGGCGGCGGGGGCTTCAAATATAAATCCGGCTTGTGAATTCGTTTCTGAGAAAAAGCTGCCATCCGAGTTGGAGAGCTGCTCAAGGGGAAAACAAAAAAAGAAAAAAAAAATGGTGTGCGATGGCAGCACACCATGTCCGCGCCTCTATTTCGAGTAACATTTGGTAGTCCGTCTCAAAGTTCACTGCTTCTGAGAAGAACTCCCCCCCCCCCATTCCGCCCCCCCTTAATGTCTTCCAGATGAGCACTTGTCCTACATGCACTTTTGAGTGCGGTCGCAAAGAGTTTTCTTCACACGCGACATGGCGGCCAAAGAGGAAGTGGCTTTGGATGAAGTGCTTCATTATTTGCCCGAGTGAACACATGCGTCGGCGCTCGTGTTTTAACTGCCCGATTTTAAAAAGTAAGGGGCGGGGGGGGAGGGGGGAGTTTTGAAAGCAAAATATGGTTTTAAGAAAGACTTCTATTCATACTTTGCTGGCCTTTTTTGAAAGCGGAGACAGTCCGGCCTTTCAGCGCTGCGCTTTTACTCATTTTTTTTTTTTTTTTTTTGTCAAACTTCACTGGAAAGCCGCCGCTATTTTTTTTCAGCTTCCTGCCAACTCGTAAGCCGAGCGCAGCGCTTCCTGTGCGTCGCTCCTAACCGCACTCCAGAACTCGCCTCCTTTTTTTTTTTTTTTAACTTGCTGCATATTTCAGCGCGGCAGCTGTCGACCAAATTGCTGCTTTTTTGAAGTGTTGGCTAAGAGACATAGCGCGCTGCTAGCCCAAAGTGCACCGAATGACATTTCACCACGATACACGAGTCTTTGAAGTCGTAGAGAATTAACGTTTTTGCCATCATGATAAAAATGTATTTTTGCATAACAATACATGCCTCACATTCCTAAGGCTTGTGGCTTTTTTTTTTTTTTCTTCACTTGAACTTTGTTGGCCAAAATGTCTTGTTTGTCGAACGTGAAAGCGACAGTGTCGCCCTCCGAGCATGTATGCGTCTGTCGGTCAACCGAATTGTCTTCATCTGTTCCTATCCGACAAAACTTCTGAAGTGCGCGATTGCGTAGCCGCCGCGGCTTTACGTGATCAGATAATTAGATGCGTGCTAACAGACGATTGCTTTCAATTCAAAGGGGTGTGGCCAGTGAGTCGGAGGTGTGCTGGGCGAACTCTCAGCCTCACCGCGAAACTGGCTAAGCTCGAGTTTTTGGGCACAGGACTATTTCTTAATAAATCTTCACCTTTTTTTTTTTTTTTTTTAAATTCTGCGCAGGCGTGTGGCTGCTGGACCTGACAGAGCAGTTTTCCCTCCCCGAGACAGCCCCGCCACACCTGGCCCGCCTGCTCGACGCCATCGAAAAAAAAGGTGTGTTTGATTTGACCGCGGGCGCTCTTGGTCCGTTGTCTGCTCATTATAGTTTTGTACACGAGCCGCTAGATAGTAGATGCCTCGGGGGGGGGGGGGGGGGGGGGGGGGGGGGCACCCCCTTCTCCTCCTTAGCCGCCTTCCATTAGCGGAGCTCATGCGGAGACGCATTTGTTCGAGGGCCGCAATTATCCGCAGACGCGTTGACCTTGCCGTCTGTCTGTTGCATACTTGTCCGGGACACAAAGCCCCTTTGGCACGGCCGCTTTTTCCTTTTTTTTTTTGAAAGGTCTGGAGAACCCCACGTTGTACCGGACTTTTACTGCAGGCGGTGGTAATGAAGTCAGGCAATATTTGGAGTCCGGTAAGTCGATTTGTCACAATGTTAATAGCCAATATGACACCAGTGAACCCCCGGTTTTTCGCGGAGGACATTCGCAAACCCACCCGCCGTTGGTGAAAACCGCGCTAGAGAAAACACAAGAGCGGATTCGGAATCGGCACAAAAAAAAAAAATCATCTCAAAGTTGACGGGCATCTCTGATTTGAAAGGATTCGTACTCATTTGTTGACGGGTGCTGCTCCTTCGGCGTTGCTTACGTCAGTGTCAGGTGTCAAACTTGACGTGCCACGACCTGCCCTCCACCGGTCCCTTCGACAAAGGCTCGCGTCCCGCCTCCAGAGTGACGCTCTGAGGCTGGGAAATTGGCAGGTCGGCTTAAGGCAGCCGTCAGAAAATCTTACCGGATGTGTGCGGCCCTTGCAGACCCCGCCTCGGTGGACCTGGACCAGATGGAGCTTCCCGCCCTGTGCGACGGCCTGCGCCGCTACCTCCAAGACCTCCCTCAGCCCATCGTCCCGACCGCCGTGTACGCGCAGCTGCTGCACGCCGCCAAAGGTGAGCGAGACCCGCCGCCGTTCTCTCCCGGACACAAACGTTGACATCATGTCCGACTGCGCTGAACAGCGAGTGCTCTGAGCGCACCCCGCCGGAGCGCCCGAGTACACTCGGAGTTCGGAGGACACGCTTCCAAACCGCTTTGCGCACAATAAACATTGGGGCCGTACTGGAAATTGTTGCCGAGTCACTGCGCACTTCTTTTGTCGAAATGAAAACCGTAAAGGCCCTTCAGCATTGTTTCTTGGCAGCGAGTTGAGACGAGATGGCGGCAGAGCACACATTTTATCGACATGAAACTCCTCAACTCGCTGCAGCATTGCACCTTGGGCAGCAGATGGTGGCCAAGCACTATTTTTGTCCTAATAGCATTCTCGCCTGTGTGATTTGTTTTTGTTTTGGGGCTGCTCGGCGCAGAGGTGTCCAATCCCGACGAGTGCGCCCAACAGCTGCGCCGCATTGCCAGCGGCGCCGCCCTGCCCCCCCAGTACTGGCTGGCCCTCCAGTGCGTTCTGCGCCACCTGGCCCGCGTGTGCCAGAGTGCCGCCAAGAACCTGCTGAGCGCCCGAGCGCTGGGCGAGATCTTCAGCCCGCTTTTCTTCAGGCAGCAGAGCACCAGGTGGGAGAGTCGCACGCACGCACGCACACAAAACGTTTGCTTCAATCGTAACGTGTCCCTCTGGCTGTCCTTGCCGGCATGCCAACGTGGTACTACTGGTGTGCAAAAAATGGAGTGGAAATCAGTCATGGCAAAAGTCGTTCCACTCATCCGCCCCGGTCGTTCTTCGGGCGGACAAAGTTGACAAAGCGTAGAGTAACGCGAGACGGATGTCGGAACAAACGCTCGTATGATCTGCCTCGGGCCAAGCGTGACGGACGTCTTTCCTCTTCGTCTTCTTCAGCTGCGAGCCCAGCCTGGAAGCCCACGTCAGGATCATCGAGGTTCTGGTGGCCAGCGAATGGACTGAAAGTCAGGCAGCTCCAGGTAATTAGGCCTCTTATCCTTTGAAGGCGTCAGTGTGAACGGGAACTTTCCGAGGGAGTTGAACCGTACCCGGTCGGCATTCGTTTTCTTAGTTGTTCAGCAAGTTTGTGCCGTCCTTGAATGTTCATTTTTATCCAGGGGGGGTGTGGGGGTATAGTTTGGGCATCCGGCTCTCTCTTTTTCTCTCTCGCGCTCTTTTTGAAATGCCAGCTTTACAGTTGCCACGTCTCCCGCAGAGGCGCCGCGCTGTGTTTGGAAAAGTGGGGCAGCGCTCAAACAAGCTTCTTGATAGCATCTCGTACGAGTGGAGAACAAAGTCTCCCCGCGGGGATTTCCAAGCGCCGCGCGTGCGCTTGCGGCTGTTGCCAAGAAATGAAATGATGATAAAATGCCGTCGCGTTGTCGCCTTGGCTTTTTCGAGGCTGTCGGTCGGGTCCTCTGGCGACGTCCCGTCGGCTTTGCGCGCGTGCGCGCGCATGTCGCCCGGCCCGAGCGCGCTTTTACAGCCGTTGATGTTTGACCGGCCGTTCCACGGATACATTGCCGCTGTCTAATTTGTCAGGGAAAATCTGATGCTAGCGAGACAAACGGCGCCGACTCAAAGTCGACCAGCGGCACCGTCTTCAATCATTCACTCAGGGGCAAAGAACACGTCGCAGCACAACACGCTGTCGTGCCCGATTCGTTTTTTTGGCATGCGGGCAACTCCGCGCAAGTGGCCTAAAGAGAGCGCGCTCGGAATACGTCAGTCGTCTGCTGCAATGAAGACTCTCGAGTTTCCGGTCTGTTATTTTGGTCACAAAGCGTACTTTCTCCAATTATTTTTATTTTTTTTATGTATTTATAGCGGTGTTACTGGGGCAGTGGTCTTTGAGTTTCCAAAATAAAAAACTGTCATTATATTTCCAAATAATAATCCTGCCATCCTGAAACACACGAACCCACGCAAGAGATTTGAAACCCAGACCCAAATGATTTTATTTATTTTTTTTCCTGCCTTCCATTGCGCCGAATGTCCCTTTGGGAATGAATGGGCGACATTTTGGGAAAACTCTCAATGATTCGGCCTTCACGCAGTCATCATCGTCGTCATGATGATGAGAAGAATAGGAAGGAGCCCAACTTCTCCACTCCTGCCTGCCTGATTTTGCAAACGAGAGCTCTTAAATGAGATCAAAGTGTTTGAGGGCCCCTTGCTCTCAAGCAAAAAGCAGCAGCGGTCGCCTCAGGTGCTCAGGAAGTGTCAGACACACACATTGCGAACATTTTTGAAGTGAAAGCTCCGTGTGTGCGCGCGCATGTGCGTGCCTGCCTCCTCCCGGCGACCGCTCATCTATTTTAAGGTAGCGACAAAAGGTCCACTTAGATTTGGTTGGCTGGAAAGCGGAGCTGCCACAGAGCGCCTCTTGTTCGGCCCCAGCCGCCTCCCGTTGCGAGCCCCCGCCCCCACCCCCAACCCCCCCCTTTCAAAGTGTCCAGCTCAGCAAATATTTGAAAGTTTGCAAGTTAATCATAAGCTGCCTCCTCTTCTCCAAACACAGCAGCGAGAGATAGAGAGCGAGGGCGGGGACTAAGAGGGCGAGAGCGAGAGCGCCGATCGCAGCGCCAGGCGGGCGGCTCGTCATTAGCGGCGCGGCGGTTGGTGCGGCTGCGGGGCCC